TTTTGTAGATTAACTTAATTTCTCGGTGTTGGTCCTATCAAAAAAGAATCTTGCCAATATCTAGCTTTCAATTCAAAGAACTCGATAATTTATTCTCCTCTCCTGCTGGTTAAGATTTCAACGGTTGTAAGATTCTACTAATTGCTGTATCCTAATCCTATTAGGTGGAAGTAACAACTTATCTCATCAATAAAATTGTATTTCTACCCATTAGGTCTGTTGTTAACTTGATCTGAATGATCTAGATCTACAGAAGGAAAATATCGGACCCAGAATATATTGAAATACTGATTAATAATCGATCCATATTACCTCATTTTTGGTTGGATGAGGGAGAACCAGCTGATGTGCATGCAAGTAATAGCCGCAGTCTCCAGGAACAGGTTGCATGGGCCTTTGATATCCTCTACATAATTTTCGAAAAAAAAAGAGTTGAATTTTCATGAGCATGCAAACAACTTGGGAAAGAATCTATTTATGACTACAAAAGAGCTCAGCGTTACATAGATATATCTCAAATGATTTCACATTGGGGAATCTTGAAATATTATGATGCAGTCTGCCACAGATTTTGCTGTATATAGTAGTAAATGACTCCAGGCTAGCGCATTTCTCTTATGGCGTGGTTCTGTAACATATTCTTGTTCTGTGACATTTCTTCTTTTTTTTTTTTTTCCTTTTTTCTGTTAAATTAGCTTTTTACTGGAGGTTATTTGCTAAGATGGTCTTTGTGAAAGACAGTATAAGAAAGTAAAAGAGCTGCAAACTAAAAGAAAATTACAAAGGGAAAAATCATAAATACAGACAGGATCTCCATACCCATCTTCAGCAAAGCTTTCATCTATAAGTTCAGGATTGACATACTTGGGTTGCCCACCAACAACATAGAGAGGATCACCTGCTCAATGGCAAAAGGCAAATGTCAGGCTCATCTGCTGAAGAAATTTATACCACAACTCTTTTCAGTTAACATCAGGGTCAATGTTAAGGCTTACTGAACCAAAAGATACAGCAAATCGTTTGAAGGGATTTCCAGCCTGTGATTAGTTGATCTAAGCTTCTATATACAACATCCTGGTTACATTAGTGCTTCCTAAGGCCATTGGAAACAACTGTAAAGATAATCCCCGATAACTACTTAGGCCAAACATGTGAACACAATTAATGTGGAGATTTCTTAGAAGTCTAATTTCTTACTGTAATGCTGTTTGCATATGATGGTTAAGGCAATCTTCACATGCTGAACTCATCAAAGCAATACACGAATCAGATTTGAGATTTTCTATAAAAGAGCCTGCGTTTCACTTTGACACCTCAACAGAGATAGGTAAAAGTTCAGAGAAGAAGATTCGCAGTTTCGAACAGTCATAAAGTCAATTGAAAACTAAAAGGACCATAAAGTTAACTTGAAAGTATACCCAACAAAGGATGTCCTATAAAAGAAAGGTGAATCCGAATCTGGTGCGGGCGCCTTGATTGAATCTCAACCTGTTAAATTCCATCTATTATACACGTGAAGGACATAAAACGATTCTTCTCTACT